ACACCAGACCGCTGGACACATAGCAATGCAGGTAACAAAATGGCAAAGAAAGAGATTTAAGATGAGCGTTGATAATTTGGAGACGAATGGACTTATTTGTATTTATAAAATTTATAAAATGTTTTGGCTCCGACGGTGGTTTCATTTTTGTTGAAAGGACAAAATGGCTCTTCTTAACATTTGGGTTGCGACCCCTGAGCTAAGCCTACTAAGCACGTGGGGGAAGCGTGTGACCGTTTGCTTGAACTGTCCGCAGCTCAGTCAGGACAACTGCACAGTCACCACCAGCCCAGTTAACGACCACATTCTATGGTTCGGATTTTGCGCAGATTGCCTGAAGCCTGTAGTGAAAATTATCGCTTTAGCTAGACAAATATTTGTAGGCGCTACAGCTATTAGCTACATTTCATGAAACTGTAGCGGCTGCAGCTATTAGCTACAAAAATTTATAGTTAACTACAAAAAGTAACGCACTACTTAGCTACTCTCCATCCCTGGACTTGTATACATGTAGATGGACTGTACTTGTTATACTGAATTCTTCACTTTGGTCCATATCAATGGTAGCTTGATGATCATGTGAGAGTCATGTGATACGTCATTTCAGTATTTTAGTTTACACCTGTATGCACTAACTTTGAACGGCGTTGAGGATGGCATGAGACAAAATACCTGTAAAATAAAAAGATTTAAGCAGTTATAATCTCTTGCTTATTTAATTGCTGTGTGTGGGCCTCTGTGTTCTCTTTCAGTAAAAATATAATGAAAAAAATGTCCTTGTGGTTAATTAACTCAGTGTCTTACTGAAAATAAAATGCTAACTATTTTGTAGTAATGTATTGTAGTTTTGTCATACATTTAGTATAAGTAGGGACTTTGGGACAGTGGCAACGTATTCTATGGAGTGACGAATCAGCTTCTCTATCTGTCAGTCTGATGGACGAGTCTGGGCTTGGCGAATGCCAGGAGAACGTTACCTGCCTGACTGCACTGTGCCAGCTGTACAGTTTGGTGGAGGAGGGATGATGATATGGGGCTGTTTTTCAGGGGTTGGTCTAGAACCCTCAGTTCCAGTGAAGGGAAATCTTAATGCTTCAGCAGAACAAGACACTTTGGACAATTGTATGCTTTTTTCCTGTTGGTTGTTTCTTACACCATCAACTCTAGTTCTTGTTTGATAAAATGTTTTAAATGTTTGGCTTGATGTTTTTCCTCCATTTTACTGTCCTAAATAACAGAAATAACACAACTCAACAAACTCCAAAATGTATCATGCATTATTTATGGCAAATGCAAACGTAAAATGCAACACAGCCTATGCAAAAAACAATGAAGATTGTCCTATTTTAAGAAAACAATTAGAATCATCTTGAGAGAAATTCTGAGAACTTTTTTTTTAAGTTTTGTTTAGAATTGCATTTAAGAATATTCTTATGATCTTGTTTGTCTTAAGAATTTTTGCAAGTTTTTTTCTTTGTTTTTTAATTGTTTTTCAGCAACAAACAAAAAAAGACACACAGAAAAGTACCTCATCCCCACTGTTAAGTACAGTGGAGGATCTGTGTTATTTTCGGACTGTGAAGTACCTGCAGATTTAAATCTGCCAGTGCCAACCTTTGGCCAGCTTTTGACATGGCGATCCCAGTCCACTGATCTAAATCCCACTGAAAATCTGTTGGTTAAGCTGAAGATGAGAGTCCAAACGAGAAGATGAGGACTCTGGAGAATCTGGAGAGAAAATCTGTATTGAGGGGTGATCTCAGCTCTGTATTCTCCAACCTAAGCAAGTATTACAGGAGCAGACAGTTATCTTGGAAAATGCAGGTTGCACAAATTTCAAAGTAGTAACTTAAAGATCTATGACTAAATTTACTTCAGTGTGAGATTGAGTTGATGAAGCAGAAAGATGTTTTTTTTCACCCATCTTTAAGGGTGCCAGCTGACTGTAACTTACCCTCTTTCTCAAGATGTTCTCGTTGTTTTAACTCTCTGGACTTTGCTCTGGTCATCACAGTCGTCTTCCACTCTGCAGTCTCCTCCAGTATCTTTGCCTCAATTTGGAAATGGGCACCATCATTTATTTGCACTATATCCTCAATCTTTTCCAGCAGCTGCGTCACCTGAGATGTATTATCTGAGACTGTACTGTCAAAGGCATGATATCTGTTCCCACATTTCTCTATCAGCCACTTTAGAGCTTCCCCCTTTTTTCAATGTGCTCTTCTATAGTTCTTTTCCCCAGAGAGCGGGTTCTAGTGAACAACACAAGAGTGTGTGTCCAGATCTGGTCACCAAGGAGTGCAAGGTGATCCACTGCAGCTTTCCTGTCCTTCTCTATGAATGGAATGTCAATCTCGATGACCAGTAGGATTGCGTGGGGTCCTGGTTGGCACAAAGAAACTCCTTGAATGAGCTCCTTTTTCAGAAAGTTTGCAGTGTCGCTCAGTGGAAAATGCTTCCACCAGCCTGGAGTGTCAACCAGCGTCAGCTCTCTTCCACACACATTTCCCTGTAGCTTCTTGCACTGGGCAGTCCTCTTCTGATTCGGCAGGAAGCCTTCTCCAAACACGGCATTGATCAGTGTGGTCTTCCCAGCAAACTTCCCCCCAAACACCACAGCTCTGAGCTCTAAAACGCAGAGAACAACAGAGGAATAAATATACATAACATATATAGACATAACATGTCTCTTGTCTCTGTGTCTAAAATATGTCATGGTAGATACCCTGAGCTATTCATGCAAAGTTCTAGATTACATGCCCAAATCTTCCCTTTCAGGGCTAAAAGTCTGACGCCACTCGCTGTACTTCAGCTGAGGAAAGTGCATATCACCCGACAATGTGTTGAACAAGATTATAGCAGGTTATAGTCAGTGAGGTCACAAAATATACTTTGAAGAACACTGGGTTGTCCACCCACATTAAAATGCGTGTTTTAAGTGTGTTGTAGCTGCTGGTGCCACACAGCCTTAGGGAGGTGGTGTTAGGCACGGTGCATGCTGAAGCAGTTGCAGCAGAGGTTCTACTGGCCAGGCTGCTGAACAGATGTGAAGCTGTATTTGCATTACTCTGATCAGTGCACAAAGAAAGAAAGAACCCCTACAGTAGTCACATGACCCACTCAGTCTCTGATGGAGAGGACGCCCATGGTGTTAGTGTTTGGCTGCCTGCCAGGGGCAGAAGAGGACAGAGCACCAAGAGCATGGTACGCCACTGCACCAAGGACAGAGACCTGAGAAAGGACTGGGGGTGCCTGGGGGTCCCTGGGGGTGCACTTGTGCTGGACAGGCTGGAATCTGCATACCCCAAGGATATTATTTGGGCTATGTGGTCACCAAGACAGCTGACCCTGGGCCATGAGCCATGCTGCCGTGGTGAGGGGGGTTTGGCCATGCCAAGTGCCTCTCAGTAAGCAAGTTCTTTTCTGTGTATTTACTAATTAGTGTGTCCAACACTTTCATGTTGTGTTTGTCTTTTGGTGTCCTTCCCCCTCTTTTCCCTGTGGTTCCCATCTGTTTCAGTGAAGAGTTCCTTTATGAGAAAATGGCAGACTTGGGTCTTTTTCTTTGCCAACACTACAATCCTATAGTCATGCTCATTTATACACAGTTGCCAGGTTTAGTAGGGGGCAGGGCACAATCTAAGGTGGAGTAAAATGTCGTTAAGCAGGTTTGAGTAGAATGTGGTTTTTGCCTTCTTGTTTCCTCAGAGCCACATTCTGATTACTATCTGACAGAAGTTTTTCAAGAGTCACCTTAAAGTTCTCTGATTCTTTATTGTGTTTCTGATTCTTCATTGTGTTTCTGACAGCTGGTTTGTGTGTAAAAGTCACTTTGAGTCACACTTATTTTAGTCACTCTCTCAGAGGCTGTAATAGAACACCATCCTCCGTTTACAGAGTTACAGCTGACAGAACTGAACTGAATCCCTTACATCATATTTAAACATTAATCTGTATCAGAGATCTGAGAGCTGCTCCTGTAAAAGTGATTGATCTTGTTTGAACATTTGAATGTGTTGTGAATGTCCTGCCTGTTACACTAACTGTCTGTTTCATCAGGTACCTCTAGGTCAGGGGTCACAACCCAAATGTTAAGAAGAGCCATTTTGTCCTTTCAACACAAATCAATCCACCTTGGGAGCCTCAACACTTCATGTCCATTTTACTGAACCATTTCCCATCATGCACCTGGTGGAGATTTACAAGCAGAGAGACCCTTTTCCTGCTCCGCTCTGCAGTGGGACAGATTTGGAGATATGCTGGCTGGGTGTGTGAAGATCTGAGGCTCAGAGGGGTTCACTGTAGAACTGAATATTCTGGCAGATCATCAAACAGAATTTCTTTAATATACCTGTAAAATGTGCAGTTACTGTTTACATTAATGTAAAGATTCATACATTAATAAAACACGCAGTGATTCAGCACTGCTGACTGAACTACATCATAAAAACTCATACATTAAGAAGTCACCATAACAGAGAGAGAAAAAGGAAAGAACATCTACAGTTCTTCAGTAAAGCTGTTCTTACAGTCCTGCACATCTCCTCACATCACTGTTACACACTGACATATTAAAACAGCCAGTTTACATTTAGATTAATATGATTATTATTTTAAAACGGAGCAGATTTGACTTTTTTACACAGATTTCAGGCTCTCTCTCTCTCACACGCGCGCGTATGTCACTGCATGCACCGAGTTTTAAAACGTCTGATAATATCAAACACGGTTGATTTGATCGCAAGAGTCAAGACGAGAAGAAGAGTTAAGACCACCATCCTGAGCCCCTCACACTGTAAAAATAGCTCTCAGATCAACCTAAAAATACTTAATGTAGAAACAAATAAACTAACCAGTTTTATTCAACCTAAATAAATACTTTGAATGATCGATTCTTTCAGTCAAACCAGTTTTTTGAGTTGAATAAAACTGGTTAATTTTTTTGGTTGATCTGACGAGACACTTTTTACAGTGTAACACTGAGCAATCGAGGCACTCACCCATCAGGGGACGGACTGAGTCTGCTCCGCTCTCAGATCTCTCCTCACCCATCAGGAGACGGACTGAGTCTGCTCCGCTCTCAGATCTCTGAACTCGATTTCTGGTCTATTTCGGACTCTTTCTGCTCCCGGACTCCTCAGAAATCCGGAGACGACGCTGAAATCACGAAGTGTCCGCGGTTCACTGTTACTTTAGATTCTAGTTCACGGGTGTTGTGACTACCCGCCCTAACAGGTCCGACCGGACAGGCGCAGATCATTACCTGTCTAGCGCTTCTGACGTCTTACTGCGCTCTGAGTGTCATTCTGCCTCCAGAATTGCCTCGCGTTAATAATCTTATTCGCTCCTGATGAGGTGGTTATCAAAATAACCCCAAACACGCGCTCCTGCAGGCTGGAGCAGCACCAGACAAGAGGCTCTGAGCTCCAAATGGGTTCGCGTTCTGTTAAATGCTTACTTCATATAATAAAGCATTATATATAACAGACTCAATTCGAGTCCGGTGTTGTGCCGAATTCCGACTCCCCGGCAGAATCCGACTCCCCCCTCGCGTGCACGCTCTTCACGTAAACATGTGGACGTTACGGACTGCACTCAGGGTTTCTCAGGTTACTTCTGTGTAAATAACGCTTTATCTTTAATTTTCCTTTCCTTTCCCACCGCCACGGTTTAGTTTAATATTACGACATAAAAACGATTGTTGTTGTTGCAGTACTTGAGAACTGGTGGGACTGAATGGCTTTCAGTCATGACGATAAGTATTAGGACACATTAAACACAGCTTTAAACCTCTGTCTGGAGCAAGAAAGCTCACATCTGAGGACCTGACGCTGCAGTATTGGCTGACTTGTTTTACTTTTCATTATTCAGCAACCAGACTTTCACTGTTTTCATAGCTGGACAAATGAACAAATTAGTTCATTAAGTTCAACAGGGGGGGTTTTACTGGGGGAGTAGAATTTTGGCAGGATTATTTTGACACCTGCCGAAATTACACTCCCCCTCTGATCTCAGCACTGCAAGGCCTGAATGACATCTCCTGTATTTTGCTAGCATGTCCTGGGCTGTAGATTGTGTCCTGAAATTCATTTTACTCTAGATTCAACAGGGGGGATTTTACTGGGGGGAGCAGAATTATGGCAGTATTATTTTGACACCTTATTTGACATACAGTAAACTTTGTTACAGTATTTTTTCTGCAGAATATTATAGCATTAATATAATGTAAGTTTGGATTTCTGATTTGTAGAAATTGATGAGGTTCCTTTGATTAATAACATTGTAATGTCAGACTTGTTTTTAATAAATCTTTTAGTTTCTCATTTCTTTCTTGTATTTCGTTTACATATTTATTGACTTATGTCAAATCATTAATAACATAAAAGGTTTGCTCATGAAGAAAAAATCTGAACGCATCATTTTTCTCTTCTTATGATGACTCTTGTTTTTTTGTGGTGGAATTGACGTGAGCGACAGGTCGTAATTTGTTCAGCTTTACGTACTTAATTTTCATGCTCCTTTCTTTCTTACCTGTAAAAGTAAGAATGAGTATAATTTCGGCAGGTGTCAAAATAATCCTGCCAAAATTCTACTCCCCCAGTAAAATCCCCCCTGTTGAATTTAGAGACATATGCTTTATATGCTGTAATCTATGAACCAGAAGTCAGCAGAACAAGTTAATCATTCCAGTCATAATGCATCCCCAGAGATAGGAGGGGCATCATTTTGACAGGTTCACACCTTCTGACTATGTAAAAGCTGAAGACTTTTCAGCCAAAATTAATCTTAAATTACTACCATTACAACAATTGTTCTTACTGCAATTTTTAATTATAGGCAGCTCTTTTATGCAGTGATGGATACTAATTTGTTCATTTGTCCAGCTATGAAAACAGTGAAACTCTGGTTGCTGAATAATGAAAAGTAAAACAAGTCAGCCAATACTGCAGCGTCAGGTCCTCAGATGTGAGCTTTCTTGCTCCAGACAGAGGTTTAAAGCTGTGTTTAATGTGTCCTAATACTTATCGTCATGACTGAAAGCCATTCAGTCCCACCAGTTCTCAAGTACTGCAACAACAACAATCGTTTTTATGTCGTAATATTAAACTAAACCGTGGCGGTGAGGGTCTTTGTTTGGTTTAGCTCTGCTGTGTTGTTCGCTGTGAAGGAAAATTAAAGATAAAGCGTTATTTACACAGAAATAACCTGAGAAATCCTGAGTGCAGTCCGTAGGGTCCACATGTTTACGTGAAGAGCGTGCACGCGAGGGGGAGTTGGATTCTGCCGGGGAGTCGGAATTCGGCACAACACCGGCACCCTTTATGACGTTCTGTGCTCCTTAAGATCTCAGTGCTTATTCAATGCTTTTAAATATAATATCAGCTTTACATACAGAACATATGAAACGTCATCATTATTGAAATGACAGTATTTTTCTGATGTAAAGACGATTATTGTTTGATCTTTTCCATCTTTATTGTGACCTAAACAAAATCAAAAACACATCTGGGTGACAGAAAGAGTGGCATGATGGAGACAAACAAGTGTTATGACCTCGTGAGCCCTTTGTTGTTTGAGGCTACATAATTAATGAAATAATATGGTTGTTATGATTGTTTGTTTCTGATGAATGCATGAGAACAGAAGCAAATATTGGCTACACTGAATCCACTGGCCTGAGAAACACGCAGCTCAGACCCTCATCTATAAATCATTCTGTGCAGATCACATTTAGGAGCTCTCATAGAAAAGTGCTGCTAGAATAAAAGTTCACTTCAATTATGACACAAACGCTTTTCACCTGGAACTCAGCATCACAGAAAACCCACTGAACTTCTCAACAACCAATAGTAAAGCACTCTGCGTCAGGCCCCTCCCATTTGGAGCTACGCCACTCCCATTTGGAGTTTTGCCCTCCAAATTTGTGTTTCGCCACTCTCATTCGATTGATCTATCTATCTATCTATCTATCTATCTATCTATCTATCTATCTATCTATCTATCTATCTATCCATCTATCGATCTACCTGTAGTTTTAATGCTGGTAGTATTTTCTGAGAAGGTGATTTGGGCAGAAATCAAGCAGGTTTATGTAATATCTATCTGTATATATAGGACTTTCTATTCTACTCATCTTTTTCTATTAAAAATCATCTCAAGATGCAAGCAGCAGCCAGACGGGTATGTTCACTTTGGCGAGAATGTGCAGGAAAAGACCAAAAAACCGAAGTAGTTAGGAAGAAGTCTGTGTGTAAAAGAGAAAAAAAATTGAAGATTCTGTAAAAGTGGATGAGAGTTCACATGATAATCACCTGAAGTGAGTTCTAACTAAGCACTTCTGAAGAATATATAAACACATGATATTAGTTTTGAAAGTACTGACGCAAATAATATTACAGTAACAGATGTGAGGATAAATCAGTGTAATACAAGTTAAGATGTATTTTTTGTGGCAGTTTGTGTTTAATTCTTCTGAAAACAATATTTTTGCTACTATGAATTTAAGGAAATTAAGGTTCTTTCCAGCACTGTTTGTCATCAGTAAGTTTACCAAGAAAATCAGTACAGTGGAGTGAATATGTGACTAAACACCCAGACTGGAGGAAGAGTATCAGTGACTTTTCTTTTTAGGGCTGAAGAATAATTTGATGTTAAGGGAAAATGTATCAGCTTTAAACCAGTGATTCATATTTGATCATTCTGGCTCCATCAGCATCTACAGAAAAAATGGTTTATGATTAACATGTATCCAGTATTTGCACACAAACAAAAAATATTACATCAACACAGTTGCTTTATTTTTAATTTGCTACTTTTGCCATGAATTGTGTTGGTAACACATTTAATTGTTGTGCAACTATTTAATCAAGTACATTTAAAGAGGGTGTGTGCAGCATCTGGACTAGTACATGTTCTTTCTCACCTGATGTCATCATCTGAAATTAAAAAAATATAAACATGATAACTCTACAAAAGGGTCCAAAAGGGTCATTCTAACAAAACCGCCTCAAAATGACCAAAATAAATTTGATCAAAAGCATCACACAGATAAAAAATATTCATATAATTCAGTAGAACAATTTGAGCTTTACATTATGCATATTATGTCAAGTGGTTCAACGCAACTGGCTTACTGTACTCAGTTAATTCTTTTAAACCAAAGCAGAAAAAGATCAAAGTTCATAAGTTTCATATCAGATCTACAGAGTTTCATGCAGTCGTCCTGCAGCTCTCATAGAATTACGCTCAGCAGTGAATTACAGAGTAAATTTCACTCACAGCCACCAAAGTGGCTCATCAGTTTAGTGTGGGGTTTAAGAAATACACACATCAAAGGAACAATAAATCAGGAGCAAAGACGGCACAAAGAGGGAGAGTAAAACAAGTAAAAAAGAACTTTTTTATCTAAATATTGCAGTTTTTGACATAATTTAAAAATGCTTACTGTCCTTTATAACGTGTGTAGATCTCAGTATTAATGAATGAATGAGGTGTTGTTGTTCTTCGTTAGGAGCTAATTATGATCAGGAACAATATAAAATAAAACAATAGTAACTCATTATTAATGAACTAGGAGTTAATGACGATGAGGAATAGTATTATAAAGTGAAACATATGGTAACTCATTTTTAATGAACTAGGAGTTAATGATGATCAGGAACAGTATTATAAAGTGAAGCACATGGTAACTCACTATTAATAAACTTGGAGTTAATGATGATCTGGAGCAGTATTATAAAGTCAAATGCATGGTAACTCATCATTAATGAACAATGAGTTAATGATCAGGAACAGTATTATAAAGTGAAATACATTAGAAATAAAAACTGCTAAAGAAATGATGTACCTCTGTACAAAAATTATTAATATATAAGAGTAATTGAGTTGTTTAGTCTTTTTTTATTTGTGAACAGTCCAAATGTGAAAACATCCCTAGCCATATCATTGAAAATAATACAAACAAATGAAATCAAAATCTGTCATTACTACTGAAGCAGAAAGTCTGAGAGCTGAGACCGATCACAGTATGTTCTGCTAGTACATTAATCACACATCTTTCTGTTTCATGTCTGAATTTTACTGCTTAT